CCCGGAACACAACTGCATTTGGAGGAACTGCTCTGTCCAGAACGAGGGACCTTAAAGACAGCGAACCCTTTGTCCTCTGTGCGCCCTTTCTGTCTATTCCTCCACAGAGAAACCCCCTCCTCTTCCTGGTGCAGGATTTTGAGCTCAGAGCTAGGGTTTAAGGCAGGTAGGGGCGATCAAAATGCAACCCCATTTTGGCTTGAAAAGCAGAAAAAGCGAAGTGTGACTGTTTTTTCCCCATGCTCTGCCAGGTGCCTCCAGAAACATAACTTCTTCAAATATGAGCGTGTGCTTCCAACTTATACAAAACAAAGAGTTTGGATCATTCGGTGGATATTTTTTAAATTTATGTAAACCCTCTAGAAATGGGTAATTCCTCATCTAAGAGCCTCCTTATCCGTGATTGCTGTGAATGTGGCACTGCTATCCCACCTCTGTTGGTAAAGATTACCCACGTATTTTCAGACACAGTTCCCGCCAGGTCCTACTGAGCTTCCCTAATTCCCTTCATCTCCCCTGGCTCCCAAAAGCCAGTGTAAATTCACTAGCACTAGTTGTGGGAACACTATTGCAGAGCTGCTAGCGTTGGCATGGGGAAAATCCCATTACAAAGTAAGATGCTGTTTAAAGAATCTGTGGATCACATAGAGCGGCGGCTGGAGTCACTGGTATAATTACTAATAAATAATCATAAGGAAGACAGCTAGCACAAGGAAGTGGAGAGCAGACCGACAGTAAAAACAGAGGCACTTGCCACTGAGCTCTGCGATTTTTTTTTTTTTACTCCACTTTGTGGATTAAAATATGTAATTTGTTTTTCCTAATTTGATGTACATTATATCTTCATTATTACAATTTAACTCCTGGGTTAAAATCCTGCCCTTCTTACTTACTCTGATTGACTTCAATGGTCTACAGAATTTGACCGCTTCCAATTAACGCTATCCACTTGGGTTTCTGCTTAGCACTATCATGCACTGTTAATTGTTTAATAAAATGACTATGTCGGGTATGTGTGTGGGAAACAGGGAGAGAAAAAGTGTACGCAGCAAGAAAAGTTTTCTTTGTGAATAAATACCATAAAATAAAACATACAGCTTTAAGCCTCTGAAAATAAGGAAAATGTAATTTGTAATAAATATATATATATTTACAAAATTACACCTGGCCTCCTGTGATTGTCAGAGCTGAACAGTATCTCAATTACAGCAGTACAATGTGGCTTTTAAAGTGCCTATATATTTGTCTCAAGTAAAAAGGGGAAAGAAGTATTGTCTATTAAGTGTCAAAAGCCTTTTCTTTAACCGCAGAAGGCTTGGACAGACTAAGGAAATATTTCATCTGGAAGAGAAATGCTAAAAACTACCCTTCACGTTATTGGAAAACCTATTATCAAATGCTAAAACCTCTTCTTAAATCCCTGAGTATACACAGCAACAGAGCAGGCTTGGTTCTAAGTATTTAAACCTTTGTTAAGGAAAAGACAACATAAAAAGGGATGCAATCCACCTGCTAATTAGAAACTTTATTTGCCGAGATACTGTTCATTTGAGCTTTTTAGAACATTTCATTCTCTTTGTACTTTCAAAATGAAACTACATTTTACTTACGGCGAAATGCAGTTGACTTTTACTCCTCTGTCAATCCACTCGGTTCCTAATGTCTGTGTTAATTTTACGACCCCGGCTTTCGAGGTGTTGTACGCCAACTGCTTCTGTGGGTGTGGGACTAGAAAGGATTCAGAAATAAAAAGTTATTTATTCTCCACAAATTCAGATCGCTTAGGCACTACATGGACAACTCCCTGCATTGAGATGAACTATTTGCCATTTTCCCCGATACTAGGCAGGGAGCAACAAGAATTTAGCCCCCCACAACACAAAAAACTCTAAATCTGTATTTTGCCATCTAATATTTTTGCCTCAGCAGGTGGGCTACTAGAAAAAAAAATGGAGGAGAAAAAAAGAAGTAAAGAAATGTAAAAGGTTCCATATTTGGGCAAAGCCAAATCAATGTATTAAACATATATATGCACTATTTGAATACTCCCAAGGAAGATAAATAATCACATACACACATGCACACTCACACGTTGTACACATATGTATGTTTATATACAAAATACGTGCACACTGTAATACTGATATAATATAGTATAATGATACGATATAATAGAATATTATATGATGTAATATAATACAATCTAATACAATATTATATTATATAAGTGCATAATAGATTTTATATAACATATATTATATTATATTATATATAGCTTCTTGGAACAAATTATTCTCCTTAATTTTTAAATTATCCATAGTCTGAAGCAAACACATCATATTATCTAATCAGTGTTTGTGTGGATGTGAGCACAGGTGCGTCCCAAAAATTCAGAACACCCACCACTTTCAGACTCTGAAGCTTTTGAAAATGTCTCAGAGATGTCACATGTCAGTCAGAGAGGGAAAATGATCGGCTTGCTAATTACAATGTTCAAGCTTGTTAGTGCTGTGTGCTCAGGTGGCTCTGCCCCTCCACCAGCTCTCACACTTGCACTGTTCCCAGGAAAGCTACTTAAGGACAAATCCCCAGTGGGTATAAAGTGCTTTAAACCCACGGGAGTCAAGCCAAGTTGATCCAGCTGTTGGGATTTACACCCACAAAGCGTCTCTCCTTGGACTTCTCTGGCTGCCATTATGACTTCGTTAAACAAATCCAGTGCAACGCGCTGATCCACAATTAGCACCATATCAGTACTGAGCTTCACTGAGATGCTAACTATTTCACGGCAGGAGAGTGGGGAAAATCAGTGCTAAATATCAGTGATCACAAAGGTAAGTGGTTGAGCCTGTGGGGTTAGGTAAGGCTGAACCCTGGAAGAAAGTGAATCGCTGATCTGTGTAGGTATGGCAGGCAAACCCCACAGCATTTTGATAAAATCACCTAAGTGGCACTGGTGGATGGCATTAAATTTGTCTTAATTTATTAAGTTAAAGTGGTGCATCCATTCTAGATCACTACCATCCACGTTAACTCAACGCAGCCACTATTGCGTTAATTGACTAAAACTGTTGGTTTTGAGTACATCAATTTAAAGGACGAAAAGACGAGGGTAACAAATTGAGTCACCCAAACTCTGAAAGAGCCAAAAGCCCTGCTGCAAATTACTAAGCATGTGAATAAGGACCTTTGCCTCAAACGTAAATGTTCATGAATAGATTTAAAGCACATACGCGATGGGAGCAACAATTAGTGTTTCTTTTTTTTTTTTTTCTGCACATGCTCAAGCTTTGCTCAGAATCCGGAGGCCTTTTGCTTGCTAGAAAGAGCACTTCACACCACAGCACCCCTCCGCCAGCATTTATTCTGCGCTCATGTTTTGTTCAATAGGAAATAATTCACATTTTGACCAGCAGAACCGCCTTGCCCTCTGCGTGTGCCTGTTGCCCCCCAGATGCAGCGTGCCGCGTGGGATCCTGACAAGATGTGGAAAGTAATTTCTTGATTAATTGCCATGCATCAGCACCGAGTTACATACAACTTCGGTAGTTAACCTCGTAACCTCCCAAAAGCAGTTCTTTGCTAAACTTTCCAAACATGTCTGTTTGTGATAAATCATTCGGCGTTTGCTAAGAGGATAAGAGTTTTGGCACCAGCTCTGCACCTCTAGCGCACGTGGGTGAGGACAGCAAGTTGCTGCAAGCTATCAGAATCGGCTTTCTGATTTGGGGTGGGTGCTGAGACAGGGTTTTCAGGAGTCCTTCCATGCCAATGCTTTTGTCTTCATGAGAATGTCCAAGGAAGGTAAATCAGAAGATGAAATTTCTCCCTCCTGGGACACTTGGCCCCTCTCAAGTGGAAGAGCTCAAGAAGAAGCCAAAGGGCGCTGCAAAGCTCTGGTGCTGGGTGGGCTTTCTGCAGCTGAGCACTCTGCACCGCATCCTCTTCAACTCACCTAAGGTGGTCTCTTACAGACAGAAGGGCAAATCTGCAACCCTCCAAACTCATACAAAATGGGGATAGAGCCTGTGAATAAAGCTATGCCTCCAGCAGAGCCACCAAAAAAACCTGAATTTGTAAGGCTTCTGGGAAGTGAAGACACTCACTGCTCTTTCAGACGGAGAAGATGGGAGGAAAACAGATAAAAATGCTGCCAGCATCAGCTGTATTGTATTTTAAACACCTGACACTACGTTTTTGCAACCTTGTTTGGTGCATAAGGCTGCTAGCCTGACCTGGAAGCAGCTATGTAATGAGGGGCGGACACAGACAGAGAACACCAGACCACTTACGACTAGAGATACTCCCTGTAAAAATTACAGATCTGAGTTACACCTGTGCAAATCGCAAAGCCGCAGCAGCCTCGCCTCCACTGCTGAAGCATACGTCTGGAATAATTCCAGTGAAATACCAGAATCAAAATGCACATATGCAAAATGTATGCAGCTTATCTTCAATTAATTAAAGCTGATTCTGAGCAGTGTATCTGGAAAAATCACAAACAAAAACCTCCCTATCCTGCTAAGTGTCTCCTCGTTTTCCTGTATCTCTGAGGAAGGACTCAACCTACAACAACAAAAAAAAATATCCCCTAACTATTTCTAGAAACATTTCATACTATGCCAGTTGGCCAACATACTTAAATAACCAACCAACCAACATATTTATTTAACATTCAGCAGATGGACATGATATGAACATCGTGGTTTTCAGTCGTAGTTTTATAACTACTAGATTTTTTCAATGCCAAGATTCAAACAGGTTCAGAAGGTAAACACATCTCTTCATCTCTTAACTTCTGGCCTAGCATGCATTAACTTTCAACGACATTCAAACGTATCTGGCACTGACCCTTCCAGGTGGCTGTAAGGGCTGCTTTCCAGCCTTTGTTCCTGCTCCAGGACCCCTACCACCCTCAAATGTGATCCCCATGTGGGTCTCGGTGGACTTGGCGTACCAGCCAAGGAGGTGCAGCCCTGAGCCGGGGCTGGGATGGATGCCGTGGTGGAATGGCATCACGTCCCGGCTCAGCAGAACTGTGCCAGGGCCTGATGGAGAAGCCCTGGAAGGAAATGCCTCTCCTTAAGTAGTGGAGAGCACTTCTGGGCTGCAGAAGCAAGGCTGGGAGCAGTGTGCCAAAGCAGCACACCCCCAGCTGCTGCCAATTTCCAGAGTTTTGTAACATTCCCTAGGGTGGACTACCTCCCAGTAAATTTTGCTTTGCGATGATGATGTAGACGGTGACAGCCCAAGCCCAGACCAGAGCCCCACTGTGCAGAGCGGAGCACAAAAGACAGGGGCATTCGAAATTTAAAGCTTCACATTCTTTTCTAAACTATTGTGCTTTGGGAGATTTTTGGGAGGGATGGTGCCTGTGTTCAAGCATAAGTAAACCAGCTGGTAAAGACACTTGAAAAAAAGATTAACAACAACATTATAAATGCATTTTTTAAGAAACATTTAAAGTTACTGTGAAATAAACCGAGCAGAATGTCACAGAATGTCAAACTGGGCACAGTAAAAATAAATGTTATTCCCAAGGAAAATAAAAAGACTGCATATTTATGTAACATTCAGCAGATGGACATGATATTAATACAGGGGTTTTCAGTTCTACTTTTATAGCTACTAGATTTTCTTGCCTAACTTGGCAACCCAAGGCACCATTTGATTTTTGGATTTGGACAATACTGCAACAGATGTCCAGACCAATAAAATAAATTCCTAAAGGGCTATGCTTAATTTGTGTAATTGATCAATTTTTGTTACATGGGCCTCAGTTCACCAGCATGTAACTGCCTTCCAGATTAGCTCAGCAGCAGGGATTTCATTCCATATGTTACAATGGTTTATTGGCGCTTTTGACGACACTGCTGATTCAGCAGCGTTGCTGGAGACACCTGTTGGCAACGGTAATGAAATAAAACCCGCGGGTACTGGGGCAAAAACCAGCGCAGAAGATTTTGGGTGGCTTGTAAACGCCACGGGGGCACAGCTTCCCGCGCTTGCCTGAGATTACTGGGGAGTGCACCAGCAGCTCTCCCAAGCCATCAGCGCATCAGAGTCAGAGAAGGTGACTCCACCTCTTCTGTAAAAAGTAGTAAGTGCGCTAAAACATAGAGGACAGATAAATGTTGAAAAATGATATCAATAAAAATTTTGTAGTACATTTCCTCTAATACAAAATGTCAGTGATTTACTCCTTCCCAATACAGGTTTAATTGATTCAAATAGCATCGGTAGTAATTAAAATATGGATTCTGAAGCACAACTGTTAGCTCTCATCACTCACCTATTAAACTTGCCATAGATGCTGTGTTAATTATCTTCCCATATCCTTGATTCAGCATAATGCGGCCTACAGCCTGTGACAGAAATTAAAGGAAAGACCAGTGACCCTTTTTGTGATTGTGCTAATAATGACATGATAATAAATTAGTCTTCACTTTTCAGAAGAGTTTATGCGCTAACACATTTTTTTAAGCACTTGATATAAAAACTTGGTATAAAAATGGCTGATGCAGGAAAAATCCCATTGCCATTTCAGACCCTCTTCAACTCCTGGCAATATTTTTTCAAAATAATCACTAATGCTGGGAATGGCCCCCCAACGCTTCCTGGTTTTCAGGATGTGTCAAACAACCACCCTCCAAAAAATCTGGCCATTCTTGAATGCCTGGGCTTGGGCAGCCAGTAAGTACTAGGTGCTTTTGAAAATATTGGCCAAAATCTGCAACTGATGTAAAGCAAATCTCTCCTTAACTCCACCAAAACTAGGACCAATTTTATTGTGACAATTAGTAATAAGGTGTTATTCAAACTTGGTAAAGCAAATGCTTAGAAAATTATCACCTATTTGCGAAACAAACCGGTACAGCATTTCACACTTACTTGGCAGCACAAAAATAATCCTCGTAGATTAACATTAAAAGTTTTGTCCCATTCTTCTAGGGAAGTATCCTCACTTGCAGAGTTCATGTTGATCCCCGCATTGTTGCATGCAATGTGAACTGTGCCCCAGCGAGCTACGATTGCATCCACCATCCTTTGCACATCCTCGGGTTTGCCTACATCTGCTGCGAGGGCAATGCTTTTAATCCCTACATTAAAATAATAGTGGTGAAGTGCAGGAATTCACAGAGAAAGAAAATAAATCTGGTTTATTATTATTTATTAATTCATATATATATATAATGTGCATTTTTATATAGACATATGTGCCACCTTAATTCATGGCTCCACAAATCGTAGCAAAATGGGTGTTTGTTATAGTCACACTGCTATTAAAGTTGCTAACTGCCGCGAGGGTTGCTTGTTGGAGGCAAACGGAAAACCGAGGTAGGAGAGTGGAGTCGCCACTCCAGCAGGACGAAGCTTTGAACACTGCACCATCTTCTGTCCAAAGCCTCAACTGCAGCTTCCCCGGCCGCCAGCAGTTCCACAGAGCATCCCTGCCGGCTGGATGGCAGCAGCTCGGGAACAAGATAAAAAAAGCAAAGGACTCTTTCATTTGCTCAAATGAAGACGGTCTTTATGCCCGTTCCCCCCAAGATGCTGTAGAAATCAAACCAATTTGTCCAAAAAGTGCTCTCTGGGTGAACTACAGCATCCAGACAGCTGGAAGCCTCAGACAAAACCGAACCAGTTTTAGGTGGGAGCTAACTGGGAATACCTGCAGGTTCACAGGTATGGTACTCACGGTGCTTGGCCTTATTTATTGTAAATAAATACTACCAGCACAACACAAACGGTCAGAAGTTAAGAGATTTACTGGATTTCAAACATGCAAAAGTTGTGCTTTTTTTTTTCCTAGAAAAATCCAGGCGTTGATTTTTGCACCAGTGCTGATCTGTAAATAGCTTCATTTAATTTACTACCAAAATCAGCTTTAAATACCCTTATTATTAAACAAAATAAGCAGCCTACTGAGGGATCTGATGCCAGTGGGATTATACCCATCCTGAAAGTCAAGGCTACACCAGTAAGGGCTGTGGTGAAATGGGTCTTAACTCACAAGGAGGGAGGCTGCCACTGGGGTTGGACTGTAGATCGGCAGTCTGCAAGCAAAGAGTGGGAGTTACAGCTGTTAAGGCAAGATTTTTTTACATCTATTTAAATGGAAAAATTACTGCCCATTGGTCCGTCTTTTAGGTCATTCTAATAAAAAGTTTAAAAGAACCCTTAAACCTCTCCTTGGAGAACAGGAGAAGACTCTCCCAAAAAGAAGCTTTGAGATGGAGACTTCTGTGAAAGCAAGGCAAAGCAACAACTGCCCAGTGACGTTTGAAGAAAATGACAGGGAAGAGGGGTTTGGATGAAAAATCTCCTCTTAACCTCCTCCAGGAGCCTGCCAGATCGCATACCCCAAGGTGATGCTGGTCTGGGGTGCTCCTCACACTGGGATGTGGGAGCTAATGTCCCCTCCAGCCTTCAGCTATGTCACAGTCCCCTTGCTTTCCATGGCAGAGAAAAGGGCAGAGCCATAATACAGCCACCTACAAAAACGAATGCATGTTCTGCCACAAAACGAGACCTCTTATTTTATCACAGGTTTTATGATAAATGCGCTGAAAGAATAAGAATAGCCAGACAGCCCCTGTTGCTCCTCCTAATTGTTATCAAGACATGCAACGTACAGGGAGCTGCTGCAATCTTTCTTATTCAATTTACAGACAAAATGGGTGCAAGCGTGTTACTAATGGTAACAGAATGAGGCTCTTCACCTGCCCTCCAACTCTCACCCCATTTATGGCTTCATCTTATCCAATAGTTCATAAAAACAAGACAAAAGGTGCCACGCGTGAGTGTCTAGCAAAGAAGCAGTGAAGGCACGCTCACTTCAAACCAGAGTCCCACACTTGACCTTAATCAATTCAGCTGATATCCCTGCACTCTGAAAGAGGGGGAAAAAATCCCACTCTCTGTCTCTCCAGTGTCCCCCCAAACCATCTGCTAAAAATAATACATAAAATAAACGATAGAAAAATAGCTTCAAATCTGTAGACCCAACCAGACGTAAGAAACCCAACACATGACCGTGCTGCTACATGCATGATGGCGCCAGTGCACCTCTACAGTCCCCAGTGCAGTTTTGTGATGCTCATGGAGGCAGTTTTGTGACGAGAGGGGCAGGAGAGGAGCCCAGTGGCTCCGTGCTGGAGAGATATCAATGTGCTGAATCTGCCTGAGGTGCCCTTCTGCAGGGGACATGTACACGGCTCCCCTGCCACAGGCTTCATCTTTGGTCTCTCAGTACAAATGGAAGTAATACATTGCATGCAGACAAGAAGATCAGAAGTGACATTGTGGGGAAGGCATTTGCATAGTTTACAGTGAAAATGCACATTTTAAAAATCCCATCAGACTAATTTTTCCCATAAGGTACAAGCAGTGATTCCCCCTGAAGACACAGGGGTATGTAGTGGCAGGTAACCCTTAGGATTTTTTGGTTATGTTTCATCATTTTTGGTTCTTCTGTCAGGATCCATTAGCAACTGTTGAAGAAGGTATTCACGCAGGATCTAAAAACAAAGACCCCTGTAGCCAAGGGACATACACCCGAGCTGTCTAACAAAGCTAAAACTGAGATCACAGAGGTTCTGATGTTTAAAACTCATCATGAAATGATGGCACTCTCCCAAAAGACAGTAAAGGGCTCCTTGGTATAAGCAGCAAAGCGGGTTTAAGAAGCTAAGCAAAATGGTTTGAAAAAGTATCAGTATGGGAATGACTTGGGGTGCTGTGTTTCCAACTTTGAGTTAAAGATCCACAGCCAAAGGGGGGCGGGGAGGAAATCACAGGTCCTTTGTGCTTATTATAGCAGGAAAAATATGTATTAATACTACGATTGCTTCAATTTACTCATGTGAATATTTTGAGAGTAAAGCTAGCTGAACCTTTTTGTCAAAATTCATTTCCAACAGAGTATGTTACTTCTTTGAAGCCAAAATGTTTCACGGAAACATATTGATTTCAACAAAAGTTTTCAAGGGAAATCTTCTGAAGTCCAGGCTAGACTCTCTAGTTACCTCTGGAGAGAAAGAGATTGAAAACCTGACCTTTTCAGATCCTTTCCAAAAACAGGCATTTGGATATAATTCCCTTTCACAAAAGCATTACAAAGTTTGGGTTTTGTTCCAACAAGGAATGACAAAAAATTTGAAACCTCAAAAACCGTCATGAGATGGAATGGATGTGCCCTGACCAGCTGCACTGGTCAAGTTGATAAAGAATATTTGACCTCACAGGATAAAGATGTATAAAGACTAAGAAGTGAGATTTTCTTTACTTTAGACTGCAATAATATTTGCTATGCCTCATGACCTCTCTGACTGCATTTTGTAACATCCACCCGCCTCCTCTGGGCTTGCAGCCCACCGGTGAAGGAGCAGAGATGTAGGGCAGACATTGAAGGATAGATAATCAAACTCCTACTGAAAATGCCCTGGAGATAAGTTAAGTCAGTTTTCAAATAGGCTGTTGGCATCCAAAGTCTCATGGCTCTATCAAGTAGCCCATTTCTACCTGAATAGCTCTACTTGATATGCAGGATCTCACTGTGAAAAAATGTCCAAAAGGCAAGTTAACTTGTAGGGCACAGCTACTTTGTGCCCAGACCATATGGCTTCAGTGCATAAGAAAATGAAAAGCTTCAGGGAAGGAGGGACTGGATGACTTAAGAATTTGTAATACGAGCTGGACACTTTCTATTCTAGGTCATTATTTGGGATCAAACCAGCAATCAAGGCTTTAACCATTACACTGATGCTCAGTGTAAAGTGCCTCCTGCTTACTAAAGCTGGGATTGTACAGGCTGAGGCTTTTTGTCCAAGATGTTCTCTGTGGAGGCTCAGAATGGTATCAAAATCAGAACTGAACCATTCCTCGCACTTTCCTCAGGAAGTCGATTGAGACTGGGTGAGGGAAATACATCTGCAGGGGCTGGTTTTACTGGAGAATATAGTTTCCAATGGCCCAATCCCTTTCTGAAGTCACAGTGGAAATACTGGTGATTTTATCCAAATGGGAGTGTGAAAATTTCCTGGGTAAAGCTCCATCTTTAGAGGCGATGAAGTACTGAACTTCGAAGAAAGCTCAGTTGTAATCTCACAAAAGGAATTATAAAATGAATAACACATCCTTTCTTTTCTCATTAAAATTATATTTCCAGTTGTCTTTTTCCCCTTCACAATTGCAGTTTAGCACAGCTCTAGGGAGAAATTCAATTTTATGTTACATGTTTTGGTTTTACTGCTAAAATAGAAGTGACTTGTAGAGGATTTTACCTCTTAGTTGGGGTTTTATTTATCATGTCTATTAGTATTTTGTTCCTATATCTGACCTTGCATACATGTTTGAAAGGACTATTGCTGAATTATTTTGCTTCGATTTGACGGCACAACGAGACTTAGGCTGACAATACCTCTGCCTTGTTTTGGTGTTTTGGCTCACGGTCCAGACATTAGCTATGGAAGAGGTATCAGGGAGGGGCACATGCTAAGGAGTTCATAGCCTATGTCTGTCGTCCATCCTCAGTGGATCCTGGGTGCCTTGGCTGCCACATGATTTACTCGGAGGAAGGCCACCTCTGTTTCTCCAATGCAGGTTATACAGATCTCGTTTGCGAGAGGTGGCCCTTCTCTGTCCCTGTCTGTCATGGCTCACTGCTGTGTTTCCTTTGGGTGCTCTTGGCAAGGAATTTTGCTCACATCACTTCGCGTCTCTGGTTGAGTTTGATATTGAGAGATAAGCTCTCACAGATGGCGTGATATTGATGACTGTTTGTTGAGACAATGCTGACATCCAGCTTGGGCAGGAGAAGCTTTGTGACCATGGCATGTATTTGCTGTTTGAAAATCCTCTGCTCTAACCTATTCCCCACCAGGGTTGGAAGGAAGACAGTTGTATTGCAGAGAAAGGGTCAGCTTGAACAAGGAGAGCAGCCTGCTACAGCACTCGTCACCGGGTTGTGTACAGCAGGACCTGCAGGTCAGTCCCGTGCTTACCTTTGAGGCTGAGCTCACACACCACCGCTTCTGCCTTTGCAAGGACCAGATCCACAACAGCTACTTTAGCACCAGCTTCCCCCAGCGCATGGGCAAAGGCTCTTCCAATTCCCTGCCCTCCGCCTGTGACATAGGCCACCTTGCCATCCAAACGCAGCCGGTCAAGGATGCGGTGCCTGTTATAACCCCAGAAGATGTCATCCCTCACCACCTCTGTCTGTAACAAGAACACAGACACATTGCACAGTGAGGTGCAAAGCCCAGGAAGCGATAGCTATGAAGGACTCTGCCTGTGAGAATGAGGTGGGACCACAAACAGGGATCCATGTCTTCTGGACCCATTATTTAATAAGAAAGTTGTGACTAACACAAGCCAAAGAGCACCTGTATCCCTAGAGAAATTAGTGTCCATAGGAGCACTAAGGTGCAAGACAAGGGTGCAGAAGGGCTGTGGTTTGGGATGATGCACCGACCACTCCTTACATGAGAGTAGGGTATGGTAGTTCCTGACTTCCTGAGGGCTCCCCATGGGAGATGGGTCAGGTACTATGTCTTAGAAGATGACTGGTTAAGTCTTCCAGTTATTTCACCCCCAGGGCCCAATCCTGCCCTCAGGCTCAGCTGACTCCAGGAAGGCACCGAGGCTAAAACGAGTTTCCAAAGGCAGGATTTGGCTCAAGTGCAGTGCAATCAAAATATCTTCACAAGGCTGGTGCGCAAATAAAGATATCAGCCAATAACTTAAACCAAGCTGTCATCTGATCAGCTGCCATACATCATTTCCCCCTGACTAGAATCAAAATGGAAAATACAAGATGTTTAAAATACCGAGTTTGATATGCCAGGAATTACCAGTGGGGGTAGCTTTGGGAGCACTCAGAAACTGCAAAACAATCAGGATGTTTGGGTCTGGATTTACTGAGTTAGGCCATTATGATTCCAGATGGGAATTTCATTACAGCTGGATGATGCCCACCACATAAATGGAGACAGATAAAAGCACCATCTTTTCCACAGGACAAGTAAAATCTAAGGCCATGAAAATACGCGGCTCAGAGATGATGGGAAAGCATCATGTGGTGCCTTTGGGCAAAAAAAAAAAAAACTACTTCAGAAATATTGCATTGGTTCATTACAGCTGGGCCCCACCCCCATCTGCCCACGCTTGCCTGCACGGGAAGGACCGGAGAGCACCGGGCACAGACACCCAGTGAGCAGCACGCCAACGCTCCAGGGATTTATCACAGCACCACCATGGCTGATCCAAATAACTTTGCAAGGAACAAGCATGTAGTAGCTTTAGTGTAACCCTGGACTAGTGAGGCTCATGTGTGCCATACCCTAAGCTGATAAGTCCACGCTGCACAGCACCCTCACACAACAGAATGTGAGTTTGGGCTGTCGTCATCAAACCCCTAGAAATTATTTTGTCATTGTCCTCAGCAGAGTCAAAATTTTCCCAGAAGTGCTCACAGAGAGGGAATACACACCTTGGATTTAATCACTGCATCTGGAGGTGCAGGGCTCCTTCGAATGATGCTCAATCCACTCTGCACGGGTAGAATTATCTGCAAATATAACGCATACAGAGACAGTTCTCAACTGCTTTGTACCTGGCTTTCTATCAGCCAAATTCCACTGATATGAAGAACAGTCCATCCTTCCTTAGGCCACAGAAGCTTTTCTCCTACTCCTATTCTTTAGCTGAAATTCCTTCCAACACAAGTATGTCAAGCATTTGTATTTGCTCACATTCCTCTTCCAAACTCAGGGCTTCCACAAGTGCCAGGGAAAAAAATGAAATTTTGTCTCTCTGTTTTCTAAATCAGTGCCAGCTGCTGAGGTTTCTGGGTTTCCACTGCCTGGCTAATGCTGTCATGAGGATATTCCAGTCCTATTCTTGGAGCTCAGCAAACCATAATAGCAACACTTCAGTGTTCTTCAACGTTTGCTAGAACATCTGTCTTGCACCCATAGATGAATGTCAGTCATTTTTGCCACCTACCTGCTCTGATACCATTATCACACTTCAGTGAAAGCTGCACTCAGTGTTGGAGATTCAACACCAATATCAAACTATCAGAACATTAAATATTGAAACAACATGCTATTTACATGCTTTGAATAGCTAACAGTAAGATTCAGGGCATGGAAAATTGCCGTTAATCTTTCCATCTTCTGCAAAGAAAAGCTGTTGCTGCTCCTGGCATGTTAGCTGATCGTTGTGTTGATGATGGAATAAATACAGAATCACAGGAGGCACCTCTAGAGGCCGTCTGACCTGCAGATAGACATGACCTTAAGCCTATGATGCACAACCCAAAACCCTCTGGGCATGAGCCTCACACCTCTGTGCCGTGGAAACCTATGGCAGCGGGAGTGTAGGAGGATGCGGCTGGGAGGGAGGTAGCAGACCTCACCTGTCCCACCATGGACCAGCCTTACAGTGCAGAATCCTCGGTGGCGCCCCCCAGCCACAGCAGCCCCTCTGCCACCCTGGTGCAGCCATGGCAGAAGAGCAAGCTTTGCAGGCTTGTGGCTACTGCCCCGGGGTAGTATCATCCACTCCTGATTTTAAAGCCCTGGAGGACACATGTCTAATTTTTCCACTAAAACCACAGCTTATTGTTTATGCATCCTATTACTACTTTTTTTTTTTTTTTTTTTCCTCGTGATGGAAAAGGACTTTGTTGACTCCTGTTGTGCTGGTAACGCCCTACAGCCTCCAGAGCCTTTAAAGCAGAGCACTGGTTTCTTGGTTGTACTGTGGAGCTGATTATTCACCCAAGTGCTCCACTTTTATCTTGCCTTTAGCACTCTATATGATGTAGACAGAGAGTAGGAACTATTTCTGAATACAGAAACTCATATACAGAGCTCAAGTGAGGTGAATTATAATAAAATTTGAGTTCATTTTAGGTCCTCCGGATAATGGCACCAACAAAAGAAACATTTTAAAAGGTACTTTGCAAAATCCATAGATACAGTACCATGGGCACCTTAACCAACTGCATTGCACTAACCTGCTCAACACGAGGATCCAAGTTAATCACTGTATTTAATTTTCTGATAGCTAGTACAGTTTCATCAGATATGTTCTCCAGGTAGACTTGTCCTTTCATGAGTGTATTCTCTACACAGATCACTGCATCCATTCTCAGCAAGTGGTTATCCATGACAAAGCTGTAGTAGTTAACAGCATTCCTTTGATCAGCATCAATAAAGACTATATCAAAGTGCTCATCCTCAGCATGTAATGCCTGGAAAAAAATTATGTTGGAGAAAACACTCATTATTTACCTGAAAATTTAAAGTCTTTTCATTAAAATGTCCTTTGTATAAAGCCCAAACCAGGGGGAATCCTGTTCTTTTATGTTAACATTGCTCGAATTACTTCTGGAGATCTTGGGAGTTTTCCACTCTTTGCAAACAATTCTTCAGCAACACTGGTGCCCAAAACTCTGAACCTCTCAAAGAATATCAGGATATAAAAGAGGATGTCTCATCCCAGCTTGTGGTGTTGAGAGTCACAGCAGAAGCATCTGCATATCTAGAGTCAAAGCGAATTAATCCATCAGGGTAAGGGAGAGGACTGCCATCAAACCCTGCAGCTGAGGTGCTGCAATAGTTATCTCTTCTCAAAAGAGCAACTATCAACAAATTGAAGAGTGGCAATTATATCAGTCTGGCAGAAAGAGGCATAAGGCTGATCCTGGGAATTGCAAACTAGCGAGTCCCACTTCAGTAGCAGGAAAATGGTTGAAATCCCAATTAATAATAGAATTATAGAGCACATAAAAGAACAGGTCATGATAGAGATAAAGCAGCACAGCTCCTATGAAGGAAAATGATGTTTCTTTAATCTAAAAAAATTCTTTGGATGGCTCAGCAACAGAGAGGATAAAAGAGAACTGGCTGCTATCATCTAATTGGATTTTCAGAAATGTGGCACACCTTCCCTCCAAGCAGGCTGCTGATGATAATGTATAAAAGTGTTGATGGATGACCAGATGGGAGCCTTTACAGCCTTCTCCTGTGGCAGTTAATGCACTCGCTGCCCAAGAGGCTGCTATGGAATATTTCAGATTCCATCTGGGACTATTTAACTGCATCTGTGTGCGTTGCAATGAAACAACGGCTCATCCACCTATCTCGGCAAGCAGAAATGCTTTCAAGTCTTGGCATTTTGAGCGAAAAGAGAAACAATTATGTTTTCCAGAACTCACTGTTTCTACCACAACTTTTAGCAGTACTTCTTGCGTCCAGATTTCCCTTTTGTGTTTGGAGACATTGTGCACAATGAGTGACGAGCGATCCCCTGAGATGTACAAGAGAAAGCATCAATAACAAATGGCAACAGAATGTGAAAAACTAATTTGTTTTCAGGAGTGAGGTTGATGGCTCCAAAACAGAGATTTCAGGAGCCTTTCTGAAGCAGGGAGAGCGTCATTCAGATCAGCAAATAGCGGGAAGTGGATCATTGAAGCTCTGAATTGCTCTATTGTGCAAACTGGTGTCATTGTGAGCTTGTTAGTGGTTAAGAAATTAAGCCTGCCTGAGAGCCTGGATAGTCACACTTAACTGCAGATGCTTGATAGCACAGCAGCTCTGCCAAAAGTATTCATAAACCCACATTTAGGACACCTTTTGATACCATACTATAACGAAAGAAGATCTTAAGGCCAAATATATGATGGTTTATAATAAATGTAGCAGAAACTGGGACATCTGGTTTCCTGGGATTCATCTTTTCATTTCATGACCAGTAAGAAAATTTTGCTCTGGTTCCCTCTTCAGCTGTATTGGGAGAAAGCAGCGGGAACATTTTTGCTACTGTGGACAAGCATCTTACATCAGGTTGCAACTCGGACAGTCTGTCCAACATAGATATTTCAGGAAGGGTCAGAAGATGAAAGCTGGTAGGAGGAGTCCATCAGGAAGAGAGATTAGAAGTCTCACTCCCCAGAGAGAAAAGCCAAAGCCAAATCCAAGTAATTATCATGACTTATCACTACTTTCTGACTTGTAACCTTCCCAGGCAGAGGAGGTGGGGGCCAGACATTCAGAAGCAGATGTGGCCATCTCTGAACATATGTTACTACTGCTCCGTGGTATGGCTCCCTAATGAAAAAGAATCTCACTTTTATGCATTGACTTCATTAGGTCCATATGGAGTTTTGTAGCTCTTTGGATATTAGCTGGACTTCTCATTGCAGCCATCTTTCTGTACTGTCTACCTGCTGACAGCTTATCTCCTTCTTACCTATCTTCTGATAGAGATAAACCACCTTTTAACTTCACAGCTTTCATCCCAGGAGGGTGCCTGTGTTGTGTCTGTACCCAGCACATGCCTGTCTTGTCCTTGTGTTGCCTGGGTGTGCAAGGCCACTGTTTGAAAGGCATTTCTCTGCTGCCGGTTCATAAGGCCCTGAACAGCCAGCCATGAAGGTCACTTGGGCACCTTTCATTTCTTCCAGATACCTAGTGCTAGACACCTGTATGGAAATGCCTGAATCACTGCCTTGGAGTTCGTACTGGGACCCTGCCATCATTTGAGCTTCTTGTTTCCACAGCTTCAAGATTGCTGCTGGGTTTTTCATATTTTTAGCTGGAAACAGCTCCAGGCCTTTAAGGGGAAACCATGGAATTCCTTGAACCAGCTTTGCCTCTAGAGTAGTCTCTTACACAAGAAGATAACAGGCATAGGAACAGAAAAGTGCTCCATCGCCTGGAGCTCGGTGGCTAGCAGAGCACGGGTCACCCAGACAGGCAGTCACCGTGGCCAGGCTACCGCACTGGAGAGGGTTTCCTCACTGCCAGCACCCACTGCTTTGACGGAAAGAAAAAAAGCTGCTTTACTGGTAGCTCTGACTACAGAGCTGAGCACTGGGAATATCGGTGCAGTGGAGAAGAGAACTCGCTCCCGTCCCTCTCAAAATGGATGAGGGGGTTTAAGAGGAGGGATTGACCACCCTTGTCCTCCCAGAGCAGGCTGGGCCAGGCCCTGCCTGGGACCTCCCAGCACGTTGGAGATGCCTTTGTCCCTGGCTAGGAGAAAGGCAGAGCCCAAACTTCTCCAACTGTGAGGAAAGCTGAGATCCAGAAGGAAATAATCTGCCTGCAAAATATCCCGCTGAAACTAATTTCCTGAATGTTTACAGTGCGATCCCTGCTCCTTGCTACAGAGGCATCATAGACAGTAACAGATGGCAACAAGAAGTGTCTTAATTCAGAGCAAACTTGGCTAAAATTAATGCTTTTGCTTACAGTGAGTCATTAACTTCCTTTTGGATTAAAAAAAGAAAAAAAAAAACAAACTTGTAGCACGGCATTCCATAGAGGAGATGCACCAAAAGTGAGCATGAGAAAGGGCGCAGCAGGACTGTTGATGGATATGGCAAAAGATCAGGGAGAGGACATCCCGAATAAAAACATGAATGAATCTTCTGCCAAAGTTCAGAGAAAACCTGATTTGAGTCCTGATCAGAGACAGCGCTTTCTCATAAGGCACATACAAACTCAATCAGAAAAAAAAATGACTGTCCAGTTCCTTTGATATGGATCATACAGTCAGCATATTTGTAACAAAGATGTACTCAAAACTTGTTACCTTTCCTATGCCTTGTTCTTGACCTAAATGTAATAGCAATCCATCCTTAGGGTACACAGAATACATGAAAAAGTACAGCTTCCTTTTAAACCACCATTAGAATATTTTACTGTATGTGGACATACACTCTTGTTACTCCTAAACGCTATTCTATTGAGTACAGTTTATATTCACCGGCAAAGCTAAATCTCTAGGGAAGCTAGAGAGGGAATGCAATTTCTAGTAATAACAGCTCACAACAGTGAATACTATCCACTTATCCCCACAATTTCCAGCTATTTTGGACTCCTTTCTGAATTAACCTTTCATATCAAAAGGAGCAATTCTGCACACTAGAGACTCCGACACAATTTCATGCATAATTTATTCACTCAGTTCAACATTAAACGCAGAGTCCTTGACTTTGTCAAGGTGGATTCTGTTGGCAGACTTCACAAGCAGCAAAACAGGAGAAATGAGATCTGCAGCTCAACCTCTTCACCTATTCTGTCTGGTAAAAGAAGGAAAAAAAAGAAAAAAGAAAACCCCGACATGCTTACACAATGCCCTGCAATCAGCAGAATCTGCTGCAAACACGGTGTTATTTTTTGTGTTGCATTTTTGACTTTAAAATGGAAGGATCAAAATCATGGATGGGAATAATTTCCTGGTAGTTTGCATTCCCTCCGGACTCAATCCTGCATCCATTGTTCAACCAAAAGTCGACTGGGAATTCAAGGAAGCTCTTTGTGCAGGATCAGGCCTCTTGCTCACAGCTGATGCATGGCAAGGCACATTATTCAGGCACAGCATGACAGAGTTTAGACTTAAGGAGCTTGTTTGGAAAGGTTTTTAAACGCTGGCCCAGCACACATTGAAGAGGCAGCTAATTCCCACTGAAAGCACCCGCATCAGAGCCTGAACCCAAGGAAAGGCTTCCCCTCAGTGCACATGTCAAAATATTATGTAAAAATTACTGAGGTCATTGGGCACAGAGGCTTGTGCCGTTGTGTATGTGAGCTACATGCTTTGGTGGGGACCCAACCTAGCTTGGCAGTGTCTGTCCCTCATGCGTGGAAAGGTGGATATTTTTTCCATCATGCCCTCAAGTGCCAAATGAACCCAACTGAGTACCTGAGCTCTGCGGCTCCTGTCTGGTATTCAGCATCCTTTGTCAGCTCAAAATCCCAGATGTTTTGCAGCTGGCTCTGATCTGGGACGAGAGACAGGGGAACTGGCCAACCCTACCAATGCTCTGTGATAATGCAAAGGAGCAGCAAGAGCTTCAGAAAGCCTGGTCAAGGTGCCACTACGGACTGATGTGCTGCCTTTGCACTGCTCTCTGCTCCCTCACAGAGCCACGGTTGGAGGTGGAAGAGCCAGAGCCACGTGGGTGTCACAAAGGCCTCGCTGTCTGAGGTGTGTGGTCACACGTGTCGCATCCCTGTGGCAACTGCTGAAGCATCTGGCAGCTTTCCTTGTAAAGGGCATCGACAGCAGATGTGGACACAGCACTAGACACATCCATCAGCACTTGGATGGTACCCTCTACCTAAGGCTAGGATGTAACTCTCCAGTGGACTAGTTTTACACCAAAAGTGAGAGTACATTATATATGTCTTCTGGCATTTTGGACTTTCTGAATCATGTCTTCAAGCAGCAGAAAAGGACTTCCCTGCCGGGCTGTGTTATTTATGTATCATATGACACTTTTGTGCTTTGAAAGAGCCAGTGCAGCGAGGCAAAGCCTCTGCTCCCAGGAGCTCGCATTGCTGCAGAAATTTAAGGAGCAGCAGATAAGCAGAAATACTGCCCTATTGCACTCAGCTTGGAAGCCAAACCCAGCCACAGCCACCACAGCAAGAAAGCGTCTGTAGACACCTCCAAAGAGCAAGTGGTGGGTGACCATGTCTGCCCTCTAATTTCTCTAGAGGGACAAGAATGAAACCTAAGGCTGCAGACACCATAGACAACAAAGACAATCCTTGCCAGAGCTTGTTCCAGCTCTCCTGAAACTCACCATGCTTTTCAACAACTGTTAGCCAGCTCTGCTTCAGACCAACCTACCTGAAGACAACTGGGGACAGAAACATTGTTGTTCTCCACCTCCTCCATGAAGCCAAGCTGTAGGAGCTCAGCTGTGCCATCCCTGGCCCACCTCCTGCCCATGACTGCCTTGTCCTCCTGCCTTTCAGCATGCCCACGTGGAAGTGGAGGAAGCCTGCTTGGTCTCCAACCCAAACTGGTCTTCTCTAGGAGGGAAAAGGCAGCACGCTGTTCACAGCCTGAGCTTCTTCCATGCATCCAGGTTTGTTCCTGCATGGCTGCCCCACTCCAGCTGGGCAAACCACAACGAGCCCTAAATGCAAAGGCACCAGAGAGGCCACCAGATATATTGCTCCATCGTTTACAGCCATCATGGCTTAAGACCTGTAGGACAATTCCGATTGTCCCGGTATCAATGACAAGAAATATCTGCCAGGTTGAGAAACAGAAGTTCAGAGCCCAGTGCAGAAATCCCACGTAGAAAGGTGTCCCCAGTTGGGATCTCTCCTGCCAAACACGAGCATCTCCGCTCCATCAGCTTCAAGAGCTATTTGAAGCCCTGAGTACCTGCAGAACTGGGGTCAGGATGTGCGTTCGCGTTGCAATCGGAGGATATAAAATCAATTGCAACGTTCTGTTTTAAGGATTTAATTTTCATGTCTTTGCTCCCTTCTTTAATCTCTACACAGCATGTACTCTGCCTGCCTCTAGATATTTTAATTCAGTCACAGTAAGTCAGTTGCACAGAATGGGCACTAGAGAGCAACAGCAATTCAATTAATTTCACACTCACTGCGGGTAGCTGGGATTTTAAATGCTGCACATTGCAGGTGATCTGTAACATTTCGTTTATTCATATACTTGGCAAAGCTCTTTGTTTCTTTCTTATCAAACTTGGAGGTCATGAAAGCCAGAGGTCAGAAAGCTCCTGGCCATTTCATTTTAGAAACAAATATGGTACCTGTTAATGCAAATAAAGTTACAATCAAGCTCACACTGACACATCCAGATTGAAAATGGAATCTGATCAAATTGGTTTGCATTAATAATAGAAAGGCTATATATTTAATGAACCTGGTATGGGCATCACCTGTTAGCATGCTGAACCTGCAGCAGCGTCCGGGAGATCCATAAACTGGAATTAAATGTGAGACTCCGCTTGCTGCTGGCAGTCATAAGCTTTTCTCCTTCTTGGGACAAAGTCACTAGTCAGCATGAGACAAAGACAGCGAACGCGTTTGTTTGTCTGAAGCTTGTCACATTTGTCTGGAGGCGAGAAACTTGGGGTCTAATTGTCTGCTGTGTTTTCAGCGGGGGAAAATAGCGAGAGGTTGAATTACAAACTTCCTCAGGACTTTCCTGGTTCTTGTGAATATTGGGAGCCAGCTGTCCTTCTCAAGAGCTGGCTCAGCAGGGCACAGATACACTCTTCCAGCTTGTTATATTTGGAATTAGAGACCCTGAAACAAAGCCCACCCATGTCAAGTAAAATTCTGCTGCTGAAGCCCACCAACCTATATTTAGAGCTTCCTCTGACCAAAAAGCTGCCATATTTTAGTCAAAAACGAAAAAAACTATCTTGTGTGGCAGAGCTGTCCATCATACATTGTCAGCATTAAGAATAAATCCAGTGCAAGAGTGTGTTCACGTATTTGCAAGCAAACTAGGGTCACCATCCAGCATTTTGTGGGCAGGAAATAGGACCTGCCCGAAACTCTTTAATCTGCTCTGCACAAGAGCTCCCAAACTCCCTTTCCAACTGATTTTACCTCCAGAGTGTCTGCCGTTGGTCCCACTCGCATGCTTATCTTTTTACCATCTGAAGAATAATCAAATGCTTCTTGGCTGTTCACTCCGAGATACGGCGCTTCTGCACATGCAAAGATTTTGCCATCATCTGGCAATTCTTCTGCGATAGCAAGGATACTGTAACCTTTAAGCTTGCCAATTAATAAAATCTTCCTGGCTCTGATCATATGAACAAGCATCCTAAAAATTTGGCCTGTTGAAAGACAAGAAGGAAAATTTAAAAGTAATACCCTAGGAAAGACTGTACCCTGTTCACAATGAAAATTGGATGTACCTTTCAAGTGATCATTAACAAAAAAAAAAAGTCTAATCTTAAAACACTTTCAAATAAGGGTTTAACAACAGAATCTGACAAAATTTCATCTAAAATGCAGCTAAAAGACAACAGAATAAAGGGACTGGTTTTAAATGTAGAACCTTTATCATCAATGCTGCTATTGTTCAAGTGCTTGTTAAATAGTGCTTGAAATATTGCATATTTTAACATTCCCCCCATACGAAAATGGCTTTAAGATGTCTCCATATTCTTTCTGGAACCCGGTTAAAAAAAATCACTACATTACCTTGCATTTGCTCTTAGAGTCATTATCCCTAGACAGCACCATCATTTAAGAAATTTATCATCAGTGGTGTCCTTCGAACAATGTATTAGTGTAATACATTATAAGAGTACTTCACTGTGATGATATATTACTCAAAAGATGGGAACATCTGGGAAGAACGAACCTGGGAATAGATTTAGTGTAATAGGCTTTATATGAGGATACAAGCCTGGGTATTGCTGCTTGAAAAGGTACAGTGCTTGGCCACAGGCCACCTCTACCGCAAAAGCACATAAACCCCTATCAGACACCACCAAACCCAAGCCAACGTGATCTTTCCCTGCTTTCCCCTTCCAGTGAGGAGGATGATCTCTTTGCTGCTCACTAAGGGATGGGGCTGGCACTGTGAATCAAAGCACTCCTGGGCACGTGGTGTGGGCACAAGGGCACGGGAGAGTGGGGGACAGGGAAAAATGATGCAAAAGGAAGATTGATGCCTACAGGAAGCTCTTCTATTTCTTTTTCAGTAATTTTACACATTTTCTGAGCATTTCCATGGCATTCATCCTTTCTCTACTCAAAATGGAGTAGAGGCTGATGAACTTCAGTGATAACCTTTACACTAATTTGTTGCAATTTTATCCTCTTGGTTGAGCAACTTGCCATTCAAAGAGCCAGAGGAGTGTTCTTCCTGCAGCCTAACTCTGGTTTCAGTTCGTCCAATGTCCCCTGGGCTGTGGTCAGGTGAAGTTTTCCTGGAAAAAGAAAGAAATTTCAACATTATGGTAACAACCAAATTCTGAGCACTCTGCATTAAAAAAAAAAAAAACAAACCAAAAAAACAAGGGACAACTCCTGGAAAAGGTCCATCTGTGCACAAGCATGAAAAATTAGGCCAGAAGCATTACAAACATCCCTAAACTATAATCCTAAGAGGACCTGGTTTGGCAATAGGCCTGTCTTGGTGCTGGCAGCCACTCCAGTCATAGGGGTTGGGAAGAAGGGGTTGCGGGATCGAAGGAAAGCGTTCCCCACTGTCGAACCCCAAATCTGTCCCATTTCCAGCTGGTTGCAGACGTGTTTATCTATCTGCTGGTTTAGAGTAAATGCCTCCAGCTACCCTGGCCAGGTTTTGTTCAGCTCCAGGGGTTTTTCAGCCAAAAAAAAAGGTTTCATTGCAGAATAACGGAAAAGATGTAAAAGCTAAAATTTTTTTTTGCAAGACAGGAAGAGAATGGTTTTCCTCACAAACTGCTGAGAAAAGCAGGGTATCTCCAGTCACTATTTCACAGAACCAGGCCTGCGACAACGCCTCTGGATGAAGTAAGATGCTGCCTATTACAAAGAGAAGGGAATAGAGGACTGGAAGAAGTCCATAGCCTCAAGACAGATTAGATTACCCTATCTGAAGACAGTAACCACCAGAAATGGCTGGTGATGCTTCTGCAGGCCAGAATTTAGAGCTATTTCAGCCTTTTTTTTTTTTTTCCCCATAGCTCCCCCCCCCACTCCTCAGTAAAATGAGAAAGAATTCATAACCCGTGTCAGCCACACTCAGATAATCCAAGACTTAAAGAGTAGAACATTTCATATAACCTCTTTTCTGCCCCTCACAAATGCTTTAACAACTTTAATAAGATAATGTATAGCTATTATCGTACAGCAAGCGTAAGTCAAACAACTATCAGCTATTATTTCAGCAACAGAACGAACGCTCAGCGTTCCTGTAATCCACAGCCTGGAACAGTTTACACATTGTCAATTTTAGACAGAACTGGCTTTTTCCACATATCAAAATGTACACTGATAAATGGGAATTGTTTAGCAGACCCCACATGGCTGGGTAATATACTGTAGCTCAAAAAAGAATAATGAGGGTATCAGTTGGACTTCTGAATTAATGATACCTTAAATTAGTTTAATTAATTAGTTTAGTTACTAGAGTAATTTAGTTAGCAGATTAATTAATGTTTGTTGAGTGCTTGGAGATAAAAGCTGCGTAGAAAGGCTGTTATTATAGGGTGGATCCAGAGGTGCAGGATTTCTTCATTCTTTACTTGTGCAGGGGCTCATTCTTTGAGCCTTTCAGCGGGCACTGTGCAGAGGCTGGCTTGCTGATTTTTCACAGGATATCGTCCAACACAGACATCGGCGTAGCCAATCGTCAATTGGTAGAATATCTTCCAAAATTTAGACTTACAACTTTTTGTTCTCACCTCCTCCTCTCAAGGCCGTAGGCACGCACAGACACACACATGTCAGGGCACACTTTGCTGTATATTTGGGTGCAGTTAACTCTCATTCTTCTTCCTTCCACCATCTCCCACATTTATGGCATATTCTGAACAGAAAATCTGAGAACATATTCATACAATCACAGCAAAAATCACAAGGTTACAAAGGAGTAGCCGTACCTCTTTGAAGTTGCCATCGCATCCAGGTAAGGGTCTAGCCCAAGAGCAACATCAAGAGCTTTTTGTAAGTAATTCTTGAGCTGTTCAGGAACACGAGAGTCATTGAGGGCTATTTCTTTGGCTTTGAGAAGGTTCTCAGCAATGAGTCCAGCTGGGCTTTCTGAAATAGAAAATAAAAGGAAGAACAACGATTTCATAACTGCTCAAATCAGCAGAAGAGGAATGTAGACTGCAAAAAAACAAGAGCTTTTTTTTTTTGTTTTTCATACAAAATACAGGTTTTTGAAGGACTATGAAAACAATCACAGAAAGCTTTTCAAACTGAAAAAATATTGTACCTCTAATTCATCTTTGTCACACGCATTCTCCCTTTTCTCCCTTGCAACTGATCCTTTGCTGAGAGGAAAAGGATAAGAATATTTCAAACCCCATGAATTTTCACTTTTGAAGCTCTGAGGCAAATATTGAGAACCAAACAACTGCATACAAAACCTGCTCCTCCAGGCAGCTTTTTCCTTGGAGAAAACAGAGCGCTTCTCAGACCGCTCTTGCAAAACCAGGCAGATTCTCTCAGGCCAGGACATGCAGATATGGTCCAGCTTTGTAAAAAGGAGGATCTCCACTACCTGCATGCCAGCAGGGTGCATGAGTGCCCCCGACACGTGTCCGTGCCACGGACGCTGCTGGGCACAGGATCTGCAGAGCAGGTCACGGTGCCTATGCCTACAATACAATTACATCTGTCCTAACGTAGCCAAACTGACAAACACTCAAATGAAAAATTATTGTGCCGAATCATAAAATCAAAGATACTCTTCAACTAATCAACTAAGCAGGTGATATAGCCATCACCCTGGTAGGAATGCAACCTCCTAACCCTTCTTCTGCCTTCAACCTGCCACAACAGCTCACGGTGGTGACACACCACTCTGAACTCCTTGTTTCTCAGGTCACAAAAACTGTGCTTGAACCCATCGACACCACATGGCAGATCTCCCAACGCCTTTTCACAAGCCAGACCCTGCCAAAAGCTAATTATTCAGGTAAAGAGGAACAGTGATGCACAACATGACAATGTTTCAAAGGCTGCAGAAACATCTCCAGCATCAAGATCAACCTGCCCTGGGGGCAAAAGCAATGCTGTGCATGGCACTGTACTTGTCCTGACGCACCAGAAAACCCGTATGGCAGCAACCCAACGATGGACCTCAGTGAGCTATGGACCCACAGAGTGAATCATAGTTCAGAAAAACTCCCCCACTCCTCAAGTGCAAGAGCACGTGCTGGGTGATGAAAGCATCGCCGAGACGAGACTTCAGAGACACGAGGCAAGTAGGCTGTGAGTATAACCGGGGTGGAGCAGATTGCCTCCGGCAGGATTTTACTCCTGATAGAAAAGCCTCAGACAAGTAAGCGGAGCAGGTGAAAAGAGAACATGCTTCCTCTGGAGGACTGGCCCAGACCAGCCCAGTAGCCGTGGGGCAAAGCCCCATCCACGTGGAACTGCTGTTGCCGCAGGCACCGTGTCCCCATCCTAGGATGGGTTGCTGGTGGGGTCCTGGACACCACAGAAGGCATCCAGCCACCCCATGGCCTGCCAGCAGAGCTTCAGTATAAAGCCACTGAAGACATCAGAGTATCACCTCATGTAGGGAACTCCCTCACAGCCCACTGTGGAGAAAGTGGTAGGATGACAGCAGGATGTTTGGGGTTTTAGTATCTTCTCTGTCCGAGCATTTTGAGGGATAAATCTGAGACGGGTACGCTGAGCAACTACATATCCTCCACAAAGGATGCGAGAATAGTCAAGTCTCCTCATTGTGGATGCGACCACTTTGAGTGGCTCTTGCCATAACGCTCCCAGCACACCAGGATGAACGGAGGTACAGCAGACGACCCCATCACCAAAAGAGCACTAGGGCTTCCAGTTGCTGGGGACCGCTCCTTCCCCTGATACCACGGGGCAACGTATGAATAAACTCTTGTCTTTGGGAATGGGGAAAGGTTTAAACCTTCCCGAAAGTCTGCTTCTCAGTTTTCTGTAGCTACTAAGACAACAACTCCGTTGGTTTTTGAGACAACTTTACTGATTTTTCATTATCCAAATCACAAAAAAATATGAAAGCAGACAAGGAACATAAAATACCTGTGCCTTTTACATGGGAATTTCCAGCTTGGACCAGATTTAGTCATCTAAGCAGCATCACGCTTGTGGTGGTAACCACAAGGAAGGCAAATTTAGGCTAGCTGTAGCAGCCCCTGATTTACATCTCATACCGATCTCTTGCCATAGAGGCGGCTTAGATCTCTTTCAGCATTTTTATAATTAATTGCAAGTTCAGGAATAACCACCCCTTCCCAGACCATGTTAGTTTGTTGCCTTCAGTAAATCCTTCCGTTGTGTGAAGACACATTGTCTTTGTGCAGCACTTTCACCACCTCACGAGCGAGCATCTCCAGGCTCCCACCGTACGGCTGCAGGATGCTGGAGGTTGCGATCTGCTCCTTCTCCCTGCCAAGCACTCTGAGGCTTTTTGCTAATTTAGGGGGAAAAGGTTTATAGTCCGTGTCAAGTTTTAGTAATTGTCATGTTACTCTTCCGGATGAGTAAGAGACAAGGATCCCCTGTCACTCAAGGAAGGGGAAAACAAGATTTACCTCCCACTGTTTTGTAACCTGTGTTATAACATCAACCGCAAGCACCAAGAAGTGCTACCGGGGAGAGAGAGCATGCAGTGCTTGCCAAGATCAACTCTGTATCTAAGATTATACAATCTTTTCAGGAAGTGCTGCATTTTTAAATTTTTTTTATTTGCAGCCTGATGATGCTTTGGGCCAACAGCAGAGGTCAGAATTGCCTTCATTTATACAAGCACCTGACAAGTCGGAGCAGAGCTCAGGGCTGGCTGCACAGCTTTGCACAACTGGACCATATTAAGCACTAAACTAAATTGCCTGGTTGCCTCCCCGTGGCTCTATCTATGCACAGACATCTCTCTCCCTTTCCCATTTAATTGTGCATCATCTTCTTCAGGCATACAAGGGAAAAAAGAAAAAGGGAGCTCACTCAGAGGAGGAAAATGCTGCCAGGTGCAAAGTAGAGGAGTTCAAGCCCCACATGAAAGAGCAGGAAAGGGCTGCTTTAAGCCTCCAGCAGCTCCATCAAAAACTTAAGGTGGCAGCTCTTAAAATGGACCACGGTTCCCAGCGTCTTCCTTGGTAGATGTTGAGAGCACAGTCGGCCTGTTTTACAACAAAGCTGAATGACAGACCACAGCTTCTACTTTTTACAGCATCAAGCACTTTTTGTTCGAGTCAAGAGGAGTCAGGGGTGCTGGTGGGGGCTATATGTGGGGGATATCAGCATCCCCTGAGCAGGCACAGAGGGACACACTGCCCTAGCAGTGAAATTAAACTGGGCAGCTTGAGCTTAGACGGCACTTTTTGGGAGTCGGGGGGCTCAGCTAAGAAAGGGGAGGACGCTGTACTGTTTTTTCAGGGGGCTGCCCAGAAGAAAGCACAGAGACAAGTGCACAAGAAGGCAATCTAGATTTGGCAAAACCAAAGCAAAGATGCCACATCCAAAGATGCAGGACCAGCTCTTTTGTTCCCAGTTTTGGGCTATCCTCATTTCACCTTCCAGCCTCCAGATCTATTTTGCAACCCCAGCAATGACTTCTAGAAGAGTTCCCCTTCCCAGCCAGGGCAGAGCATTGAACCTAATCCTCCCAAATGCCGTGCTGCCAGTCGGGTGCCGAGCACTTTGGCAGGAGTCACTCAGTGATAAATACTCGGAAATCCAGTCTGGCAAAATCTTCCCACACAGTTCCAGCCATCGTATTCACCAGTGCACCTCAGGCATCGACAACAACTTATCACAACACTCACCACTTCATCTTAGTGTGTAAATACACCACAGCCATTGCATTTTATGGGGTAATCCCGGTTGTGGAAACCTCAATGCAATGCTTGAGCTACTTCCTTACCCCACCAGAAAGCTGCACACAAACCCGCAGCTTCTTAGGAGATCCTGTGCTACTGCCTGACCCAAACACATCAAACCCAGCTGAGCTTATACCCATCATATAGGTGGAGCTGTAGCAGAGAGAAGCAGGAGTGTGGTTGTGGCACATCTAGGGATGCTTGGTGGCTTCAAACCCATCACCCGTGAGCCCGGGCAGGGCCATACGCTGGGGCAAAGGCATGTCATAGCCCACATGGGGCCAAGAGTGGGCTGGAAGGATAGGCCAAAGCCAGCTGCCTGGCCCTTAAACATGACAGAGGGTCCTGAGCAGAACTTACCCAACGCTTAGCCTGAGCATCGGTAGCGCCAGAGCCTGCAGCGAAGTCAGCAGCGATGGCATGGGGAGAGGTAGTGGCTTAGGGGTGGAGTGGGAGCACGAGGAGGAAGAGGGAGAGGAAGTAGCTGGGATGGGGAAGCTGCAACTCATGGCAGCAACCAGGGTGGTAAACTCTGCCTGAACTCCAGGAGAAGGTGAGGAAAACATACGCCAGCTGACGCGTTTTCTGTGGGCTCTACTGCTGGAAAAGAAAGAGAAAAGCTGGAAGCTCCCCAGCGCTCCTCTGCTTGCACTAGGGAGGCTCTGGAGTCACTGGCAGAGAGTACGCAAAGCATACATTTATTTTCATGCATAATAAAGGACACTGCCTGTGGCAGGGGTAAGCGGTACACACTGACAGTGGCCCAAGGCAGTCAAGGGGAGTCTTTTTACAGCTTCAATGGGCTTTAGATCAGGCTTCGAGACAACAAAGTCCCTCCCTTCAGAGCAGCCTACATTCCTACATGCAGCTGTTGATTTTAGAAAACGGCCAAAAAAGGCAGCAAACATCTCGCTGTGTGTGCCACGCCAGGCACGTGTGGCTATCGCAGAAAGCACCAAGGCAAGGTTAAAGCTGCAGAAAAAATATTTGTAAAGCAAGAATCCCAATCCATCAGAAGTTAGGCACAGTCAAAGCTCTCTTGGCACTGTGAGTGTCCACCTTCCCGCCCATCCCTTTCTCCTGGGAGCATCCTCCTTCCTCCACTTCAGGTTCCTGCAGACCCATCTCCCCTGCCCAGCCTCAAACTCCTCTTCCCAACCAACCCTTCTTCTGCTCCTTTCTGGCAAGCTACAGAGCCTGTAGGTCACACCTCTGCAGGGCAGCGGGGGACCCAGGACTGGGACATCACATGGTGTCCCCTCCTGTCACACCATCTCTCCTGGAGCTCCCTACCCCACATAGGGAGTTTACCTGCAGGACTATGCATGTTGCTTCTTGTGCCCCGGGCTCAGAGGATGCTGCTGTGGGTTTTCTGCCTCTGCAGAGCGGAGTCGGTGCTCAGGTGTCCGTCGAGGGGATGGGCTTCTCCACCCGTGATCACCTGGGCAGAGCCCCAGCCCTGGGGAGAGGCTGCGCAGGGAGGATGGCCCCAGGCTGGGGCTGCACCCAATCCAGCTGCACCCACCCGCCCCCACCCAGAGCACAGCATCTGACATGAAAAACAAAAAAAAAAAAAGAAAGAAAGAAAAATAAGAAAAAATGCCACCGATTTTCAATGCCTTCGTTTTACGCAAGAGCAACGTTCACATCCTGACCTGGGGAAGCTGCTGGCTCTCAAGGAGATAATCGGCAGTTTCATAACCTTCTGGTTACATAGCACAGACATGTGTCCCAGCTAAACCACCAGGCACCAGGCCGAAAAAAAGTCCCAGGACTTTGAACCCCAGATTATCTACAAGTGATCCATAGCTACAAGGTCACTTGCTGCCCCTCACAGCCAAACATCGGAGAATCCCCTGTTCTAGGGTCCAGCTCAGAGGCCAGATCTCTGCATGGGCTGAGGGAGGTTGTGTCACACGGGTACCACGTGACCTACACCCCCCAGAAAGGGTCCCAGCAAGGCACTGGCTGAAGGAGTCATCAGGAGGAACCAGTGGGAACATCTAAGGCATCAAAAGCCTAAGCTGGCTTGCAGCAGAGCCGGAGCAGAAAAGGCTGGTGAGGAACTAAATCAAAGTAATTGAAGAGCACATGATGGAGCTGAGGGCTGCCAGCCATCTCTTGGTGAAGCTGAAGCACAAACTGAAGCTAATGAGGAAATGTGGACTACCCCACAACCAGAACAGCATCTTTCACCCCTGGGCTGTATCACCCTGGGCTTGTTCAGTCAAGAATGCACTCAACATACCTGCAAAGTGTACTGAGAGAGCCCGGGGCTGGGCGGAGACGGTGACGAGGCTGTGAGGAGCAGGTCTTCGCGGCAAGGCTCTTGGCAGCCCCTCTGCAGGATGGATGGCACAAGGACGTGGCAGTCACTGGCTATGGCAAGCAGACGGGCAACAGACAGTCAATTTGTCATCTTCTAAAATGAAACAGAAGATGTTTCAATGGCCCCAGAATAGAACAGGGAAGTATAAACAGAAAATAAGTAAATGCACAGGATGAAAGAGTAAGAGAAAAGCAAATAAAATAAGTCCCAATGCTCAGTGGATTGCTATTAATCAAAACAAATAAACAAGATGAAGAGGACA